GTCTCACAGACTTTGGATGGGTGATCAGGAGAGACCAGTCCCTGGAAAAGGACATTGTGGTTGGTAGAAGGTCAGGGTTAAAGAGGAAGACCCCCAGCGATATAGATTGACACAGTGGCTGACACAGTGAGCTCAAATGTACCAACAGTTGTGAGGATGGGGTAGGACCTGGCAGTGTTTTGTTCTGTTGAACATGGGGTTGCTAAGAGTTTTAATGGACTCGTTGGCACCTATCAAGAACAACAGCTGTTGTGAACGGATGTCTGTGATCTGTTCAGAACTCTTTCCTCCCCCTGGGGATCCTCTTTGGGGATCTCCTTTAGTCTTCAACCACTGTAATTCAACTAGGGTTCTTCCAGTTTCCATGATCTTGCCTTAGGTCATCTATGATTGGCCCGCAAGCGGACACCTGACTGCAGCCAGGCCTTCTCCAGTTTTTAAATCATTTTGAACTCATGTTATTGTTAGGTTCTGTACCGTTGGTTCCCACTTAGAGTGACCTTGTATATGTTTCCACAAGGTTTCTAAGACTGTAAATCTTTCCAGCAGCAGAAAGCTTCATCTTTCTCTCACAAAACTAGATTTGAACTAGAACTAGAAACATGGCTAGCGCAGGGAGGCTTAGGAGTTGTCGTTGGTCACATGACCTTCCTCATAGCAGTTAGTTTGTAGTGAGAAAGACATAAAAGATAGACAAAGAGAGAGAGACAAAGAGAAATCCTGGCAATATTTGGGTCCCTGGTTTCAGCTGTGCCTTGAAGCCTATAGTTTAGAGGTTCACTTCTTTAGATTCTGGGAGTCATCTCACAAGCTAGCATTGGGCTTCTAAAGATACCTTTCTTTATGGGGATGTGTGTAAGATCAAATGAACTAAAGTGTGTGAAGTGCTCGGCCCAAGGCTCAGTAGGCATGAATTCCTTTCCCTTAATGGGTACCGACAGGCATGGAGAGTTGGCAAGATACCAGGAAGATGTGAGGCATCCGTACTCGTGAAGTGATGTGACTCAGCAGCTTCTGGGAGACTGGGGTCAGGTGCCCTGGGACCCTGTAGAGACAGGAGACCAGGAAGACTGCCTAAGTAGAACATTTGGTGGATAAGAGAGGATGGGGCTGAGGAAAATTAAAAACAAAACAAAACAAAAAGCCTGTCCCATCTTTTTGTAGGGGCAGATATTTTCAACAGGCACCCTCTCTGCCAGGGATGTGTCTATACTGTGGCTCCTGGAGGCCCAGAGAAGGCTTTCCAGAGGAGTGGCATTTGAGGGACATGGGATTTTGAAGGATGAATAAGAGTTTGCCAGACAGGGAAAGTGCTGGAAGAGAGATGTTGAACTATCACTATCAACCTTTTGTTTTTTTTGTTTTTCAATTGTGTTTCAGGTGATAGTTGACTGAGCAAATTCCTTTCTCATTCACTAGCTTGTGCATAACGTGTTCCATGACATTGGTTGCTTTTCCCACAATGTGTTAACTCTCTTCCCATGTCTACTCTGGGTTCCCCATTTTCTTTTCCCCCCATTTCTTTTTGTCTAAATTTTCTACCCCTTCCTCCCTTCTCATCTCTGTTTTGGGGCAAATGTCCTTTTTGCTCTTATATAATGGATTGTTTTATGGAACACATTCTTCTGTATGTTATTGTTTTCTTTATGGGCCTATTGTTTGATTGAAAGGTGGTCTCTGGGAAAGGTGTCTGTTCCAGATCAGAAGAGTGTCTTAGGGCCATAGTCTTAGGGGATTCTTTCAGTTTGGGTCAGATCAGTAAGTCTATTTACTGTTTTTTGTGAATTTAATTTTCTGTTCTATACTTTTCCCGTTCTGTCCAGGGCCCTGTTTTGTGATCCCACTCAGAGTGGTCCATAGTGGTAGCTGGGTGTCATCTAGTTCTTCTGGTCTCTGGGTTGTGGTTCCTGCAGTCTATACGTTTTTTGGGCTGATTGCTCCCTTGTCTTTAGTTTTCTTCACTCTCTTTTACTAACAAGCTTTATCATTACCATTAACCTTTCTATGCGTTCATTCTCTTATCTGCAAAATAAGATGAGTTTTGTTTTGGAGAATTATATGCGATAATATGTGTAAAACACTTAAAACAATGTGCTGGAAGAAACCTGTGGTTAAGCACATAATAAATGTTTAGCTCATTATGTAAAGTCTTTATAAGTCCAAGTCCCTTAAAACTATCATGTTGTTGTCATTAACTACCATCGAGTTACTTCCAACCCATAGCGACCCTATTAGGGTTTCCAAGGAGCTGGTAGGTTTGAACTGCTAACTTTAACCTATAGTGTTACACCAGTATTCATGGCTGTTACCCTTTATTGACTCCTTATTACATTTCTGAGCAAAATGCTTTGTACACTTTGCTTCATTTAATCTTCCCAACAACTCCACTAGACACCAATACCAGTTGCCATTGAGTTGATTCCTACACATGGTGCTCTCGTGTATGACAGAGCAGAATTCCGTTCCCTAGAGTTTTTGATGGCTGATTGTTTTGGAAGGAGACCTCCAGACCTTTCTGTTAGCAGTGGAGAACATTAACTGTTTATACCAGGTTGGTGAGTACAGTTACCCAATTAAAAATAGAAAATAGAGCCCTGAGTGATTTGTAGAACAAATAGAACAGAGGTTCAAACCCAAGTGTGTCTAATGATCTCTGCCCTTGAGCCAGAGGGAGGCTTGCCCCAGGACACCCAGCAATGGGCAGGATGGTAGGATTTCTTCATAAAGGGACCCCAAGACAGTAATCAGGAGGAGACACTGGAGGTTTGTCTCATTCTATTTATTAATGACATATTCATTATCAGGAATCTTGATGTGGTGCTGTGGGTTGCTGTGTTGGACTGCAAAGTTGGTTTGAACTATGAAGTTGGTGGCTCAAGCTCACCAGCCACTCCTAGGAAACCCTAAACAGGGTCATTATGAGTCGGAATAAGAACATTCATTATCAATATTAGAGAATATAATGGGGACTGATGAAGGTTATTGAAGGTAACTACAAAGCCCTCCCTGACCCCTTTGTGCATTTGCTCCAACTCTAGGGTCCCGAAATATAGCTAAAAAAGGGCTGGGGCGACCTCACACGAGTCAGTCTTGGGTGGAGCAGGAGACTCCAGAACCGGCCTCGCTCTGCCCTTGTCCCCTCCTTTCCCCATAGCTTCCGCCAAATGTCCTTGTAGAAAATTCCAGTCTTGCCTGGTCAAGCAGCCCAGAATGGGAATTTTTCCAGTGGGACGGAAGCAGTGAGGGGGGTGGGGTGAGTGGGCAACTGTCACCACCCCTCTTCGGGGCTCCCTGCCTGTTGTCCCAGGTCGTCTCCAGGGCTTGGGGCTGGCCTTGGATTCTTGGGACGGGCGGGCCACTGGCCCAGGGGATCCAGGCTCGGGACGTTCTAGCAAACAGGAAATGAGACAAAGGCGACCGCTTATCAGGCCGCCCAGCATTCCTTTCAGGTGATGCCCAGGGACAAGCCAGGTCCAGAAAGGCTCCTGCCTGGGGAAGCATTCCTGCAGAGGTGGACCACCCTCTTGCCTGCCCTCCAGGCCACCTGCTACCCCTGCCTTCCTTGTCAGCTGGAGGGGGGAGTGTGGGCCATTCCTCAAGGATCCCTGACCCTGGACGCAGTCCCTGGATGCCAGGAAAGGAAGGGCATCTTACAGTTTCTGTGCCTAGAAATGAGGTGGGCAGGAGGGAAGTGGAGGGGAGGCAATAGTCATATTCACTCAGTTATTTCACCAGCTGTGATGCTACCGCAGGCCAGCATCCAATGAGGGTCTCAGGGACTTACTAATGAACAAGCCAGTCTCTGCCCTCAGGAACTTCCAGGGAGAAGTAGGCAGACACTAGATAGATCAAATACTTGCAGAAAGGGCAGGGTGCAGGTATGCTCAGAGTGTCTAATCCATCCTGGGTGGAGTGGAGTGGGGTGGTCCAGCTTCCATGCAAATCAGTCATCCTTGGCAGGTACTGTCTGAATGAGGGAATCCTGGAGTTGGCTTGGAAACCGGAGTGGAACATGGTGTGGGTGGAATGGAAGACCCCTTGTGCACATGCTGGTGGTCTTTGTGAGACGTGAACATTTGGGAGCAGTGAGGGCTCCAGAGATGCCTGAACACACGTCTGGCAGTTCTAACGGCCTTGAAAGCCAGGCTGAGGCCTGGCACTGGAGACTGGGGAGGTGGGTGGGGACAGGGATGGGAGAGAGCCTTCTATTGCAGGCAAAAGAGAAAGGCCCTTGGCTTGGTGGGTTGCAGAGGCTGATCCGTAGAGTCAGAGGCTCTGCTCTTGTGGGCCTGTGCTCCCCTTGCCTGCTGGACAACGGCGCCTGTTCAGCTAGTTGGTGGGCTGGGCACTGACTCAGCATCTGAAAGGTGGTTCCCACAGGGCCACTCTTCTCTGGGGACCAAAGGCTATGCCATCCATGCCCCACCTCCAAGAGGATCAGTGACCTGGGCCCTGACAATTAGGGTAGAATGGAGCACTCAGCTTTCTAGTGCACCTACCCAGCCAACCAGGCAATCCTGTGTGCTAGCTAACCACATGCCAGCTTCCCCAATTTAGGCTTGGTTTTCCGTTCCCAGAGGCTGAAAGGCACTATAGTTATCAATACTTTGGTTTTATTTTAAAACAGTGAAAAGGAAAATAAATATCTTTGGAGAATGAGTAACGGGGTGGGGTGGGGTGGGGTGGGGTGGAATAGTGGGGCTGGAGACTCCAGGGTGTCCTGGCCTAAATGGTCTTGGGTGGTGGCGTCTGGGGCCTGGTATCTGTAGGCCCTGTCGTCCCCAGGCCAGGCCCTGTTCTGTCCCCGCTGGGAGGTCTGGGGGCTCCACCAGCCTCTCCTGCCCGCGGCTCCCAGGCCGGGCGCTGCGTCAGCGGAACCTGCGCGCCGAGATGAGGCCCATGGCGTCCGCCTGCGCCCACACCTCCGTCCCACGGGAAGTCTTCCGCCGGCTGCCCCACAGCTGGGACCCCAGGCCGGGCCCGGCGTGGTGCCGGAGGCCTTAGTGATGGCCCATGTCTTCCATGCCCACGCGGCCCCAGACGCCCAGCACAAAGCTCTCGATATCACACTCGTTGGCGCCGCGCACGATGCGAAAGTGACCCCTTTCGCCCCAGGCTGGGCCCCACGAGTTTGCCGCCGTCTGAAGAAGAGGAAAGGATGTGAGAAGAATGCCAGGAGGGCGAGGAGAAGAGAGAACAGGGTGCACAGCGGAGGGACTCACCCAGTACTTAAGCGTCCTTCCATCTGGCAGAGTCTCCTCTCCCCACCTGCAGGGGGCGTAGCGAAGAGCAGGGCGAGGCTGATTCAACTCTCTCATGAGTCTGGACTTCCCCCATCCCGCCCTGGTTGCCTTTAGTAATTTGGGTAAGACTCTTCTATCTTGGGCAGTCTCTGTCCCTCTCTGCCCATCCCGCCACCTTCACACCTGTAGTGGGTTTACCCCTCCAGTGTTGAGGGAAGGCAGTGGGAGGGGTTTCTAGGAACCCATGCCCTGGGAGCCAGTTCTCAGGGACCTGACACATTTATTTGCCTGCCCACCAATTCCCAGCTCTCCATCCTCACTTTGGGAGCCAGAGAGGGATGGGTACCAAGATTACAAGGAGGACACTCAGAAAGCATGGCTAATTTACAGCTTCTAAACTTCCCTTGCAAAATACATTTCATTGGTTGGAGAACTGAAATCAGTCTACCATCTGTCATTATGCCTGATGGGGAAAATGAGAGCTGGGTGAGGGTCCTACCCAGGCTGCTCAGAGTTAGGGAGAGTTGGGACAAGGGCTGAGACGGGAAGAGACTGAGTTTCCCTCAAACTCTTGTCTGTATTTCATGGGGTTTATTTTTTATCTCAGTGCATAAAGGAGCCTTGGTAGCGCAGTGGTTAAACTGCTCGCACGCTAACCAAAAAGTTGGTGATTTGAACCAGTGGCTCTGCAGGAGAAAGATGTGGCACTTGGCTTCTGTAAAGGTGACAGCCTTGGAAACCCTATGAGGCAGTTCTGTCCTGTTCTGTAGGCTCACTGTGAATCAGAATTAACTCCACCGCTGTGGGTTTGGGGATGTAAGGAAGAGACGGTGGTGGCGGTTATGTGCCGTGGAGTCAATTCTGACTCACAGTGACCCTGTACAGGGTTTCCAAGGCTGTAGATCTTTACAGGAACAGAAAGCCTCATCTTTCTCCCGAGGAACAGCTGGTAGTTTCGAACTGCTGACCCTGAGGTTAGCAGCCCAATTTGTAACCACTACGTTACCAGAGCTCCTTAAGGAAGAGACAGTCCCTAGAAAACCTCCAAAGGTCCCTAACAGCGTGGGCCAGGGAAATTCTCCACTTCTTCTGAGCCTTGTTTTCTCCTCTTTGAAGGAGAGTGCAGTCCTGGTTTGGCAGAGACACTGGAAGGATTCATAGCCAGGGCAACCCCCTGCTTCTTCCTTCAGGCCTCCTGTGCCCACCAAGCCTCTTACCCTGTGATCTTGACCGAGTGGGTTCCGTGCCTGCGGTATTGCTCTGGCCGCCCGTGGCTCACTGGTGTGTGGCTGTACACACCGCCCTGGTACAGGAAGAAGTCCTCATGCACCTCCATGAGTGCTGTGGGTGGAGGTCAAAGGAGAGCCCGTTCCACCCATCAGTGTAGGCACCAACTGCCACATCTAGAGATGCATGCCCAAACCCAGGGTCTCCTTGTACTACAGGGAGGGGACATAGCCCTCCCTGACACCCAATCCCACTGGACTTGCTGCTCAACACTGTACAGACCAGTCTCAAACAGGCATAAGCTTCAGGAACAAGGAGACGTAGCATTACCACTGAGTGGATTCTGATCCCCAGAGACCCCAGAAGACAGGGTAGAACTACTCCATAGGGTTTCCAAGGCTGTAAATCTCATGGAAACATCTTTCTCCTGCAGTGCAGCTGGTGGGTTTGAACCGCTGGTCTTTCAGTTAACCCCCTGCGCCACCAGGGCTCTTTGAACAAGGAGACAGGGGTGACGTAGTTACCTTGAACAGGGCCATTCTCCATCAGCTCCTTCATGATCTCCTTCTCCTAGAGGGTGGGAAAAAAGGGAGAAGAGGATTCTTCAGGGACCAATGGCTGACTCCCATCTGTCTCCTGCCTCTGACCACTCACCCAAGGGCAGACTTACATTGGAGCCCAGGCGGTAGACAGGCGTGACCTGGTAGATGTCATTGCCATGGACATGGCTGTTGGGGCAGCGGGAAGTGGCCTGGCGCTTGCCCCGACCCATGGCCCGGCTATGCATCATGCAGCGGGGCTCCAGGCCCACCTTGTCCCGCTCATGGCCTGAGACTGGGTAGCAGAGGTCAGATACAACCCTGGAGGGGCAGCAGGAGGGAGCAAGGGCAGAGTGAGCAGAGTGTAGCATGGCCCAGACCCTGCCACATGGTTTCCGGGGTCCCCGCCTCAGACCTGCCCTGCCCACACCCCTGGCTGCTCACCCTCGACGCCGGAGGAACCACCAAGCACCATCTAGATGCCCACCACGGCAGCCCTGTTGGTTGTGAGTGTCACAGGACAGCAGGTTCTGGGGTGACAAGACAGGCGTCATGTGTCCCAGAGAATGAATTGAGACTCGATCAGATGCCACAGCTGTTGGAGGAGGTAGAGGAACTGTTTGGGGACTCAGGTCATGGCCCTCTCTTCCCACCTCACCAGCCCCTGGCCCTGGGCATACCTGCAGTGGAGAAGGCCCAGGAACCTGCACAATCCCCCTGGTCAAGTGGCTCATGGATCAAGCTGGGCCACTTTTCAGAAGCCTCAAAGGCTACGGGCAGCACCTCCCCTGGGCCCAGCACTGTCTGCAAAGCAAAGACCAATCCATCTGCTTCTGCCCTGGCCTGCTCCTCAGAGGCCCTTGGTGTTGGTGGACCACCAAGTGCCCTGGGTCTTCTTCAGTTCGATCTTGAGTCCCCCTGCTGATGAGGGGTTGCAGCTACTTTAAGTGGAAGAACCAAGTACCAGCAAGTACCTCTCCGTGCCAGCTGGACTCCGGTGACTAGACCCGATTTACAACAATGTCAGCTGAGGCCAAGAAGAGGGAAGTAGCCAGACCAGAGTCACCTGGTCTTTCTTTTCATTGCCAACCCCTGCCTCTTTCCTCCTCTGCCTCTCTGATCTGTCATATACTTCTTCCCATCAGGACCTTGGGCTTCAGGCTGAGGCCCCAAAGGGCAGGGGCGGGAAGAAGCAGTAGGGTCCCGTGACCAGGCATGCTGCCAAGGCAAACAGCAGGAGGCAGAAAATAGCCAGAGGCCCGAGGGAGTAAGGGCAAGGCTGAGTCTTGTCACCCCAGCCTTGGACTGAGGTCCCTTTGCAGGAAGGTCTACTCCCAACCATCTCCTCCTCCTCCCTGCTCAAGCCTGGTGGACAGAAGACCCTCTGGCACATGTCCTAGTCCTATAGTGCTGAATCTCCCTTCCTACCCTTTGGCTGTTCAGAGTCTGTTCCATTTCTTCCTCCAGAATGTTCTAGAAGCCCCCTTCTCCCCCGGGGTTCTGCTGAGTCAGCATTTATTTCTGAGAATTGCTGCTTTGGCCAGAACTGGAGGAGTATTTGTCCCTCCCTTCCCAAAATACCAAGATGACCTCCTGGCCTCTTGAGCTCTGACCCAGTCATTCTGGGACCAACAGAATTTTTCCCAGGCTGGAGAAGCCAGGCACGGACTGATGCTGGAGCTACAAAACTCAGAATCCGAGCATCGGCTCATCGTGCAGCACTGTTTATCACATGCAGGACACAAATGCCAGGAAAGGGCCTGGGGTCCCAGGCCGTGGGGAGATGGCAGGCTTGTGGGCCAGGGTAGACTCACGTGAATCTCATTCATGTTCATGACCGAGGAGGATGGGCGGATGGTGCCCAGGCGATAGTGAATGCCTTCATCCAGGGTCATACCCCAAAAGGCACTGTGGTTCCCAGCCCTCCACCTGAAGGACAGAGGATGGAAGAGGGTCATGAATCATGCAGGGGTGAGGGTCTTAGGGTACATGCATGTGGGTGGGAGAGATGCAGCTAGCTAAATGTTACCAAACCAACTCCTGGTGATCCCACATGTGTCATAGAACGGTCCCACAAGGTTTTCATGGCTATGGCCTTTCAGAATCAGACAGCCTTTCAGAATCAGACATGGCACTACTGGGTGGGTCTGAACTACCAAGTTTTAGGTTGGTAGCTGAGTGCTTAACTGTTTGTGACACCCATAGACTCATGAGTAGAGTCTGAGGGTGGGTATGTGTCTTCTATGCTGTGCGCACATATGTCTGCTGGGGTTCTTCCCAGGGTTCTCTCACCCATAGTGACCATGGTTGATGGCATTGATCATGTCTTGGTCCACCAGGCATGGCTCCTGGTCACACTCCCACTGTCCTTTCTCCTGGCAGGTGCTGATGAGAGAAGGGAAGAATGGGTGAATGAGGCTTGGGGACCCTCTGAAGGGAAGAAGCCTCAGAGGTCAAGATGGCCTGGGGTTTGGGACCAGCATCTGGATTAGAATTCCTAGATGATTCCATCCAATCTTGTGATTTTAAATGTTAACTGCATGCAGACAATTCTCGAGGTTCCATCTGCAGCTCAGACCTCTTCCTGAACTCTGGATCCAAGGATCTTACTGACACTCAACATCATCAGTGGGTGTCTAACAATAGGTCAGACTTAACACATCTCAAACCGAACTCCTTTCTCCTCTGCCTCCCCAGTCAGCTTCTTCTGCAGCCTCAGAAAGTGGTAGCTCCATCCTTTCTGGTTGTTGTTAAGTACTGTGGAGTTGGTTCTGACTCAGAGTGACCCTGCACTGGGTTTCTGAGGCTGCAAATCTTTATGGGAGCAGAAAGCCTCATCTTTCTCCTGTGGAATGGCTGGTAGTTTTAAACTGCAACCTTTAGGTTAGCAGCCCGATTTGTAACCATTACGCTACCAGAGCTCTTTTCTGGAGCTCAGGCAAAAACCTTGGAGTCACCCTGGACTCCTCTCTTTCTCTCATGTGCTGAACCAATCCATCAGCAAATCTGATTGGCTCTGCCTTCAGATCACATCCAGAATCCGAGCCACGCATCACATCCTTCTTGCAGCCACGGTCTACCCACCTTTCACCCAGATTACTGCTGGAGCCTTCTCACTCCTCTGCCTCAGTCCTGCCTGCCCTCCCCCCTTCAGTATATTTTTAACGCAGAGCAGCCCTGTTAAACCTAAGTCATATCACCTCACTCCTCTGCCCCAAATCTCCATTGGCTTCACACTGCAGAGTAAGAGCCAAAGTCCTTACCATGATGGACAAGATCCTGTATATCTGGGTTCCAGCAGTGCCACTGACTCCACATTGGCCTAGCGTTGTTCCTCTGACACACCGCCATGCTCTTGCCCCAGAGCCTTTGAGCTGCTCTTCCTCTCATATCCCCAAGGCCCACTCTTACTCCTTCAAGTGTCGCCTTCTCAGACAGGCCTGGCCTGGCCTTAAACGTTGACCTCTCTCATACCTACTATCCCCCTTCCCTGTTTTATTCTTCTCCTTATATCACTATCTGATAGACTATGGTGGTGGTGGTGTACTGTTGAGTCAATTCCAACTCATAGCAACCCTGTATAGGGTTTCTGAGGCTGTAAATCTTTACGAGTGCAGAAATCCTCATCTTTCTCCTGAGGAGTGACTGATGGACTTGAACTGCTGACCTTGTGGTTAGCAGCCCAAGGCATAACAAACTATCCTATCAGGACTCCTTGACACATCATATATTTAGTTATTTATATTGTTTATAACAGAGTCCTGGTATGGTGCTGTGGGTTAATGCACTGGACTGGAAGGTCACTTTGAACTGCAAGTTTGGCAGTTCAAGCTCACAGCCACTCTTTGGAAACCCTATACAGGGTCACTATGGGTCGGAACCAACTCAATGGCACTTAACAACAACATATTGTTTATACTTGTTTCCCCATAGGCTTTAAATTCTTTGAGGACAGGTATTTTTTTGTAGATTTAGTGCCTAGGAAAACAAAGCCTAACCACCCTAACTCCAAACAAAAATAAATACACACACCAAACAAATCATTGTTATCGAGTCAGTTCAGAGACATCCTCTAAGACAGCCGGAGCCGAACGGCCCCCGTAGGGTTTCCAAGGCTGCAATTCTTCACAGAAGCAAATTGCCACATCTTTCTTCTACAGAGTGGCTGGTGGCTTGGGACCACTAACCTTTTGGTTTGGAAATAAGCGCTTAACTGCTGCACCACCAGGGCTCTTAAACAGAATCTGTTGTTACTAAGCACCATTGAGTAGATTTCAACTCACAGTGACCTTGTTTAGGGTTTCTGAGGAGTGGCTGGTAGGTTTGAACCACTGACCTTTCAGTTAACAGCCTGGTGGTTATCCTACAGCGCCACACCAGGATTTCAAGCAGAACCTACTGTTGTTTAGTGCCATCAAGTTGGTTCCGACTCATAGTAACCCTGTTTAAGGTTTCCAAGGAGCAACTGGAAGATTTAGTAAAAAAAGAAAAAAAAAAGTTGCCGTTGAGTTGATTCTGACTCTTAGCGTCCTTATGCGTGTCGAGTAGAATTGTGTTTCACAGGGTTTTCAATGACTGATTTTTCCTGAGTAAATTGCTAGGCCTTTCTTCCCCAGTGTCTCTAAGTAGACTTGAACCCCCAACCTTTCGTTCAGCAGTTGATCAATTTAACCGTTCACACCACCCAGAGAATCCTAGTGCATAATGTTGTTGTTAAGTGCCATCAAGTTGGTTCTGACTCATAACAACCCTGTATAGGGTTTCCAAGGAGCAGCTGGTAGGTTCAAGCCACCTACCTTGTGGTTAACAGCCAGCCCAGTACTTATCCTACAGTGCCAGACCAGGAGTCAGCACATAATAGGTCCCCAATATATATTTGTTGAATGAATGAATGACTGAGGGTTCCAATCCCAGCTGACAAGTTCTGTGACCTCAGTCAAGTTCTTTAAACTCTCTCTGCCTCAGTGTCCTCATCTGTAAAATGAGGATAGGAATTACCACAGAGTCCTAGTGACACAGTGGCTAAAGCACTTGGCTGCCAACCAAAAGGCTGTCGGTGTGAATGCATCGGCCACGCCACAAGAGAAAGATGTGACGGTCTGCTTACGTAAAGATCACAGCCTTGGAAACCCTGTGCGGCAGTTCCACTGTGTCCTACGGGGTTACTCTGAGTTGGAATCCACTCGACAGCAATGGGAAGAACGCTCCTTTCCAGGGTGAAATGAGGTTCGTAGAACATGGTGCACAGGCAGGACCTGGCCATTTTACGGCCTAGAGAATTATCTTTGACTACTATTCTCGTTACAAAAACCTCCAAATCCTCCACTTCTCTTGAGTTTTAGTCTTTTATCTAATTGTCCTCCTGATAGCTCCTCTGGGTATGTGAATGACATCGCAAACAAAATGACCAAATCTACCTTCCCCAAACTTGCTCCTTCTCCAGCATTCTTCAACTGAGAAGATAGATAGCACGTTATCCACCAAAATTCCGAGTGGTCTTGGTGCTCCCCGCCTACGTATCCAGTCCATCAGTGAGGCCTGTGGATGGCAGACTCTTGAATCCCTCTGCCTGTCACCACTCCACTGCTGTTTCCATCACATTTCACCTGGGCACCAGCAATGGCCTCCTAACGGGACCTTCCACTGCCCCCTGGTCCCCACCCTAGACACCCTGCCATCCATTCCCTACCTACCCTGAAGCCAGAGAGATCTTTGAACAAGTAAATCAGATCATGTGATCTCTCAGTGGCTTCCCAGGGGACCAAAGAAATTCTCAGCACAGCTTATGTGGCCTCTAGGATGTGGCCCATACCAGCCCTACCTCCCGGCTGCTCCTGTTCTCTCTACCTGGACTCTTGGATTCATCTCCCTGGGGTTAGCACATATGTCTTTTGCCTTCTCCACACTCTTTTCCCTTGTAACACATTGTCATCAAGTAGATTCTGACTCAAGGCAACCCTCTGTGTTACAATGCAGAACTATTCTATAGGGTTTTCTTGGCTGGAACACCAGTTGCCACAGAGTTAGTTTCAACTTAGGCAACTACAAGTTATAATGATCTATTTCTTTGTGGGTGTGGTTATTTGTCCACTAGACAAGAAGGTCCAGTAGTTCCACAAGCTCAGGGATTGTGTCTGTTGTGTCCTGGCTGTGTCTCCTGAGGTAACACACAGTAGGTCTTCAATAAATAGCTGTCAACTGAACAGTTGAATTCTAGGAATTCTACAATGCTTTTATGAGCTCTTAACTCTGCTATTACAAGATGCTAAACTGCATTCTTCCAAGCCGCCTGAGGCTCCCCACCTCCACTGTTGCCTTTTAAGGAGCCTCAAGGGAAACCAAGACTCTTGTAGGGCAGGGCTTTCCATCCCAGGAGCCGGGAGGGACACTTTCAGGGAGAGATAGAGGAGGGTCTGTCTTTGAGGCAGGGAGGTCTCTCCTTGCCCTCCCTTTCCCCCTGTATTGGGTGGGGCAGCAGCTCTTATCCAATATCCCTGGGGACCCACACATCCTCAAAGACCCACAGACACTCCTCCACACCCCCCCTCAGACATAAATATACAAGGACACAGTTACACCAGGCTGTCCCAGTGGGGCGGTGGGCTGGTCAGTTTTTTCCTGCCACCACCTCCTCTGTCCTAGGGCTGCCCAAGCAGGTCTACACAAGGCTGGTGGCAACAGGTCCCAGCATTCCAGAGGGGGGCCTCTGAAGTCAGGCCCAAGGACCTAAGTGGGACCTGGGCGTTAACCCTTTGGTATCCAGAGGCCAGCAGAGTTCATGCAGGCACTCACAGTCCTGCCATGCGTTCTCTCACCCAGACACGTACTGAAATGCACAAGTCCCCACACTCTCAGTGACCCAAGCACCCCTCACCCCAGTGAGGCAATGGAAAGGGCTTATGCACATTCCATTCCAAAAAGTTTCCTTCTCCCCAGGGCCTCTCAGGGACTGGAGTGGGGGCTGGGGAAGAAGGGGCACTCCAGTATTCCCACGATGGCATTCAAGGGTTCCTGTGTACCACTTCTCCACTTTCCAGCTCAGGCCTAGAGTTGAGTTGAGGATGGGGGGCAACCAAGGGCCCTTTCTCCTACTGCCAGGCCTGGCCTGGTCTCCAAGGGGAGGGAGGAAGGGACCACATTCCAGGGAAGTCCCTGTGCGCAGGCTGGCCAGCTGCCAGTTCAGTCATCCCTGACCCTCATCCGGCCTAGGGCAGTGAATGCTGAAGCCAGAGGTTTCCTTCCTGGCGCCCCCCTCTCCGACTCTCATTAGACAGCAGTAAAGGCTGGGAGGGGCAAGGAATGACTCTTAGCTCAGGGACGTAACCTAAGGCCATGGCTGACCACTTCTGGGGAATGTTGTTACACAATGTGGACATGTTCAGTGTTGAAATGCTCATGTTACAGATGAGGAAACTGAGGCTCAAAGGAATAAAAAGGACTGGCTCCATAGCAAGTAAATGACAGAGGCAGAATTTGAAACAAGTGTGTGGGTCACAAGGCCTACCAGCAAGCCCCCTCCCATGCCCCAAATACTCACCAACGGTTACAGTTGTTCCAGTATGTTCCCCAAACTGGATAGACGCGACCCTCATGCATACATCCTGGTGCGGGGAAGAAAAGAAAAGTGGGTGACCAGGTCCTTAGAGGGTCAGGTCAGCCACCTCCCATGGCCATCTCAGTTACTACATCCCTTGTCAGTCCCAGTCAGCTATCACTCAAAGTACCACTTGAACTCTCTCTTGCACCACCAACTGCTAACTGGGAAGCTCATCAGTGACTCCAACTTGGATACCTCTTGTTTCAGTTGGATACTAGTCACCATTTAAATGACTTCAGATGGGGAAGTGAAGGCCCAGAGAAGGTAGGCAACTCCCCTAAAACAGTATAGCATTTGGGGGTAATAACCCAGATATGTTGTCACCCAGCCCCCCAAAACCATTGAATTGTGGAAAGGATTTCAAGTGTATTATTGGACAGAGAGGCAAGTGCATGAGGAGAGGGCTGGAGGGATGAACAGACTTGATCCCCCTCTCAGGGGGATCAGTGAGCAGTGAGTGAGCTTTGGGTCAGAAGACCTTGAGTAAAGGCAGATGACCCTGACTAACCTTGTGTGCTTTATCAACCTGGTGGTGAGTCAGCAGGCGGGGCCAGCACCTTCCATGTCCGGAATGGAGACAAGACTGGGAGAAAGGGCAAAAGGCTGCTCTTCCCCTAGTCCACTTAACAACCTCACTGACCAAGGCTTTTCTCTCTCCCAGTCTTACTGGAGAGATTCAAGTAGTCTGAAGGGGCAAGGAGTGGGGTAGGGTCTCATTCCCTGATTCTAAACCTCCCCTAGAAATGTCAATGCACCAGTCTTGCTCCTGAACTTGGGAGTTGACACAGTGACCCACCCTCCTGGCCAACTTGGTGCCCACCTTGGATCGGGGGGAAAGGAGGTGGCACCCCGAGGCAGAAGTCCCAGAAGTCAGGGCAGCAGTCAGAGACAGTACGGTTGCAGAAGAGATCACAGTAACAGGTAGCTCCCAGGTAGGGTAGGGCGCAGTCGTCGGCGCGACCTCGGCAACACAGGTCCTGTTTTTCGCAGTACCGACCGCCGGCATCCCGAATGCCCCGCAGGTGCAGACCCGGTGCTAGATCTCGGCGGCTCCGACCGCGCCGACCGCGCCGGGTGCCCTGGACCACCAGGTCAGCAGACAGCAGCAGCAACAGCAGCAGCCTCAGTGGACATCGCCACATGGTAACTCCTGGGCCTGGGAAAGGCAGAGGGCAGCTGTCAGAAGCGGTAGGCAGCAGAAACCTGGCACACCAGGACCCAATCTCCCAGCTTCCTGGGGCGGTGTGTTAGTTCCAGGGGGTTCAGCAGGTTCAGAGACAGCCATTCCTGAGTCCCCAGGCAGGACATGGACAGAGGAGCAACAGCTGATTTTACTGGTAGCGGGGAGGAGGAGTAAAGGGGGTGGTGTGCCTAGGGACCTTCACGACTCAGAAGGTAGACTGTGGCATACTTGGTGCTCCCCACCAAGCACCAACCCATCCATCAGACCCTCTCCTACCCTGGGTCTTACTATCCTTCAATCAGCCTCTAGCCCTTACTTGGGTCCTTGTCTTTGCACCCTTGTGCCTCTTCCTCTGTCTTTCCTGTCCTCTCTCTGTCCTGTTGTGTGTCCTTCTGCCCCCGCTCCGTTGTCCTTCTGTCTTCTGTCTTGGTCCCTCTGCCTCCCTCCTCCTCCTTTCTCTGTCCCAATTACACCTTCCCTGTCTGAACAGGGGAGCGTCCCTACCTGTTGAGGTGTGTGGGCTACGTTCCAGTTGCCCCACGTGCTTCCTTCTCCAGGCTGCGCAATTGACCCACCGACCGCGCGGGACTCTAAATCAAGAGAGGAGCGC